ACATATGTTCAAGCCACTCCATAATCAATGTCATGTTGGTACTTTTAGCACACTAAGGGCCTGTTCTCATACGTTGAAATTCAACTCAGTTCAACTCAGCTCAGCTCCTAATTTCCTTCTCTTATAAAATACGGAGTATTTATTTCAGTTCAGCTGAGTTCAGTAAATGAGAACAGGCCCCTAATACACTATCTTTTAATCAATTTTTTTTTTTTTTATATTTCCAATATTTACCAAAAAAAGATGTACCAGCACTAAATCCCTTAATATTGGGAAATTTAAATGCTCTCTTTACAATAATCAATTCACTTTGTGGACTTACTAGATCTACAAAAACAGCTAGCAAACATCAATAAAGTGTAAGTAGTCTAGTGGTAGAATAGTATCCCACCACAATGAAGACCCGGGTTCGAACCCCAGGTCTTTGAAAAAACATGCAAAATTGCAAACAGTGATGAAAACTGCATACAAAGTCGCACTAAGGGTTGGCCACCATCTTCAGAACTACCTGAAGAAGCTATGTGTGCATCTGAGCTTGCTTATTTTTGTGTTTTTGCATAGCTCATTTTCCTTTCGCTTTCTGTACATCTCTTTCTAAAAACTTTCCCTTGCATTTCTGGCAAATCTATCAGCAAACACTTGTTTTTAATGCTAATGTATTCAAGAAGCACCAGTGGTCTAGTGGCAGAATGGTAACTTCCATGGCACAGACCCGGGTTCGATTCTCTGCTGGTGCACAGAAGCTTACAAGCTGTGATGAAAAATGCGCACAGTGTGGCCCTAAGGGTTCGCCACCATCTTCAGATTCTTCTGAAGAAAACTATGTGTGCATCTGAGCTTGCTTATTTGTTCTGTTTTGATTTTGTTGCATGCATTCAGCAAGGCTTTCAAAACAATCAAAAGTGTGTACTAAAGCTCGGGCCAATACGACGAAGTGCTGCATCCTGATGTTTATTTTAGTATTAATCAACTATCCTTAGGCAGTTTTTGGCTTCATCAATTCAATTATCATATCTGTAAAACGTCGTATTCTTTCATTGATTCAATAATGCACCAATCTTGATTCCAAGGTGGTGGAGCTAGTAGGAGTTAACATGGCAACAAAATTTTCATTCAATGTGTTCATTTTCATGTCTCCATTGTTTACACAAAAAATCTACCAACTCTCTTATTTACTAACATTTACTAGTCAAATAATTATTTTCAAAATATCAATTAACTTTGCATTTTGGACATACTGTGTCTACAAAAACAGTAAGCAAACATCATTCAAGCATCAGTGGTTTAGTGGTAGAATAGTACCTCACCACTTCAGAGACCCGGGTTCGATTCCCAGCAGTTAAATATGCAAGCTATGATGAAAACTGCGCACAATGTGGCCCAAAGGGTTCGCCACCATCTTCAGAACTACCAGAAGAACCAATGTGTGCATCTGAGCTTGCTTATTTTCCTATTTTTTTGCATAGCTCACTTTACTTTCTCTTGCTCATTTGTTGCTTAATTAGTTAATTACTTCCCTTAAAAAAATTCTTTAACAAATATATTATTTTCTATTAGACATACGTTGAATACAAAAATAACTAGAAAGTACTCAACAAGCACTAGTGGTCTAGTGGTAGAATAGTACTCTGCCACCGTACAGACCCGGGTTCGATTCCCGGCTGGTGCAAGCTTAGGCAAGCAGTGATGAAAATTGCATATTATGTGGCACTAGGGTTCGCCACTACCTTCCGATCTACTTGAAGAAGCAATGTATGCAGCTGAGCTTGGTTTTTTTTGTCACATACATTCAAAAAACACATAACGATCAAAATCTTCCAATTCAATTAACATTTTAAAATTACTCTCTCTGTATTTTTTTAAAGTGTTACACTTATTAAATCCAGTCGTATTTTAATAAGTGTTACACTTCTTTTTTTTTTGGCAAAAAGTTACATTAAAATATTATATCTCTCTCCTCAAACCCACTACTACTAATTTTTTTTTATTATATTAATAAAATGTTAACCCCACTATTTTTTTTAAAAAAAATTCCAACTACGCCACTTACTTCTTATTTTATTTAAGTCGATTAAATTGCCTAAAACAAAATGCTGATTTAAAGTGTAACACTTAAAAAAACATGAAGGGAGTATATAAAATTCCAAGTTATTTGCTTTAATGTTTGCACTCTATCATAATATCACAATATCTGCTCCCTTCGTTTACCAAAAATCACATATTTAATTGTTAGGATTTCTACAAAAGAAAAAATTATTGTCACTTAGAAATTAAATGAAAATTTTATCTGCTTATGAACGTCTCCTGTCTCCATTAACTTACTATCTCTAACATCATAGCTTTTGACAAATTTACTACCTCCGTTTCATATTATGTGCAACAAAAATATCGTCACGGACTCCTAGACAAAATTTGTATGTGAGTGGTAAATGGAGAGAGAAATATAAAAAAACATGTGATGAGGAGAGAGATAGAGAGAAAAGACAACTAATAAAAGGAAAGAAAACATTTGTTGCAAATAAAATGTTAATAAAATGTTAACCCCACTATTTTTTTTAAAAAAATATTCCAACTACGCCACTTACTTCTTATTTTATTTAAGTCGATTAAATTGCCTAAAACAAAATGCTGATTTAAAGTGTAACACTTAAAAAAACATGAAGGGAGTATATAAAATTCCAAGTTATTTGCTTTAATGTTTGCACTCTATCATAATATCACAATATCTGCTCCCTTCGTTTACCAAAAATCACATATTTAATTGTTAGGATTTCTACAAAAGAAAAAATTATTGTCACTTAGAAATTAAATGAAAATTTTATCTGCTTATGAACGTCTCCTGTCTCCATTAACTTACTATCTCTAACATCATAGCTTTTGACAAATTTACTACCTCCGTTTCATATTATGTGCAACAAAAATATCGTCACGGACTCCTAGACAAAATTTGTATGTGAGTGGTAAATGGAGAGAGAAATATAAAAAAACATGTGATGAGGAGAGAGATAGAGAGAAAAGACAACTAATAAAAGGAAAGAAAACATTTGTTGCAAATAAAATGTTAATAAAATGTTAACCCCACTATTTTTTTTAAAAAAATATTCCAACTACGCCACTTACTTCTTATTTTATTTAAGTCGATTAAATTGCCTAAAACAAAATGCTGATTTAAAGTGTAACACTTAAAAAAACATGAAGGGAGTATATAAAATTCCAAGTTATTTGCTTTAATGTTTGCACTCTATCATAATATCACAATATCTGCTCCCTTCGTTTACCAAAAATCACATATTTAATTGTTAGGATTTCTACAAAAGAAAAAATTATTGTCACTTAGAAATTAAATGAAAATTTTATCTGCTTATGAACGTCTCCTGTCTCCATTAACTTACTATCTCTAACATCATAGCTTTTGACAAATTTACTACCTCCGTTTCATATTATGTGCAACAAAAATATCGTCACGGACTCCTAGACAAAATTTGTATGTGAGTGGTAAATGGAGAGAGAAATATAAAAAAACATGTGATGAGGAGAGAGATAGAGAGAAAAGACAACTAATAAAAGGAAAGAAAACATTTGTTGCAAATAAAATGTTAATAAAATGTTAACCCCACTATTTTTTTTAAAAAAATATTCCAACTACGCCACTTACTTCTTATTTTATTTAAGTCGATTAAATTGCCTAAAACAAAATGCTGATTTAAAGTGTAACACTTAAAAAAACATGAAGGGAGTATATAAAATTCCAAGTTATTTGCTTTAATGTTTGCACTCTATCATAATATCACAATATCTGCTCCCTTCGTTTACCAAAAATCACATATTTAATTGTTAGGATTTCTACAAAAGAAAAAATTATTGTCACTTAGAAATTAAATGAAAATTTTATCTGCTTATGAACGTCTCCTGTCTCCATTAACTTACTATCTCTAACATCATAGCTTTTGACAAATTTACTACCTCCGTTTCATATTATGTGCAACAAAAATATCGTCACGGACTCCTAGACAAAATTTGTATGTGAGTGGTAAATGGAGAGAGAAATATAAAAAAACATGTGATGAGGAGAGAGATAGAGAGAAAAGACAACTAATAAAAGGAAAGAAAACATTTGTTGCAAATAAAATATAGCATATATTTTTAGTAAATGTTGCACATAATATGAAACGGAGATAGTATTTATTTTCATTAGCTCAAGTTGTTAGAGTTTCTCTCTCGATTCTAGGTAACCTGCAAATCGATTCTCATCCCAAAAAAAAAACCTTGTATTGTGGACATGCTATATTTGTAAAAGTAGTTGACAAACATCAATCAAGTATCAGTGGTTTAGTGGTAGTGATACCCCACCCATGCCAATGACGAGGGTTCTAACCCCAGCAAATACAAAAATATGCAAGCTATGATGAAAACTGCGCACAATGTGGCACAAAAGGGTTCGCCACCATCTTCAGATCTACCTGAAGAACCAATGTGTGCATCTGAGCTTGCTTATTATTTTAATTTTTTTTAATACATATCCACTTTTTTTTTTTTTTTTTTTTTTTTTTTTTTTTTTTTTTTTTTTTTCTGGTTGCTTAACTTGATAGTTTCGTCCCTAACAAAATCTATTCTTGAACAAATTTCTATTAACTGTAGTTAATGTACAAAAATAACTAACAAGTATTCCCTCCGTTTCAATATGATAGTCCCATACGGAATCAATCACATAAAATAAGAAAAGGATAATATTTGGAATCTAACATTAAATTTAAAAACAATTCATAAATAGTTTTGCCTTATTTAATTTTTTTGAATTTTTTTAGGAAAACTTTAGTCATATTTGCATAAATCAAGGGAGTAATTTCTTTACTTAAAGTCATGTCATTAGTTCACAATCAATTAATCTAACCAATCAGAATTTAATATGAATAAAATAGGAAATAAAAGTTAAGTTAAAAGTGAAATACATTCAATATGGGTATATCTTTTTAAAACGTCTAAAATAGTATATGGGATTAACAAATTGAAACGGAGGAAGTATTTAATAAGCACCAGTGGTCTAGTGGTAGAATAGTACCCTGCCACGGTACAGACCCGGGTTCGATTCCCGGCTGGTGCAAGTTTAGGCAAGCAGTGATGAAAATTGCATATCATGTGGCACTAGGGTTCGCCACTACCTTCTGATCAACTTGAAGAAGCGAAGTATGCAACTGAGCTTGGTTTTTTTTATTTTTTATTATGAGGAAATTGCTCAATCCACATTCTTAGTTCTCCAAGTTTTTGCTAATCTACTGAAAGTATGACTACCTCTTTGTCTGCATTTCTACTGATATGAGAATACTCTACCAAAGTACAGCATTTTGCTAGCTCTAAGATGTCATTTACAACAAACCCAAAACTAGTACTCTCCTGTATTGCTCTTTAGGTGATGATAGAGTTTGATACTGTCATTTTCCAGCACCACTCGAGTTAGCCCAGCTTAGAGAGCAATTCGCAGAGCATGTCTAGCTGCCAAAGCTTCCGCGACATCAGGACTTCCACCTCCATCCATCGTTTGATAAGTAGCAGCCATTACTTCCCCCACACTATCACGCAAAATCCCTTCTGACCCATACTTCTCATTTCTGAAACAAGCTGCATCAGTATTAATTTTATAGCAACCTGCAGCAGGGGCCTTCCAACTCTTACAGATTGGATCAGCCACGTTTCTCACACTTTTTTGACGAACATTTGCCTTTTTATACCCCCACAAAACCGCTCATTGCTTTTCAGAATGCTCAATTCTAAAGAATTGGGAAAGTATTTTATATTCTTATCTCAATAAAAAAAATATCATTCAAAAATCTTAAATCTAACCAATTACAGAAACATACTTCAGACGACATTCAAAACATCAATTCACATAGCTCTATCTTAAACCTACTGCAAACTTTGTGATTTCAGTATAAATTACTCCACATTTTAAGTTTCAGAGATATTCATCAATGGAGATGAACACCGACAGCGAGTTGATTCCTCCGGCATCATCACACCGCCTCGACGCCGTAAAATTCCTGATCGTCAAATACTCCGCGCTCTCGCTCTTCACCCACCGCTTCTTCCCTTCTCTCTCCTCCTTCCGCCACCGCAACCACCACCACCATTGGCTGCTCAAGAAACCCTTGAATTTCCCTCAATTGCAGCTATTCTCTCTCATCTCACTCTGGATTTCCAGCAAAACCTACGATTCTCCCCCTCTTTCACTCAAATCCCTAAAATCAATTGGCGATCAACACATCAAAGATCAGCATTTCACTAAAACCGATTTCGTCGACGCCGAAATCCTGTTTCTGCAATCCTTGAGTTTCGAGGTCGGACCGATGAAGAATTCGGTGTTTTTGGTGATTGAAGAGTTGTTGATGAAGCTTAAAGAGGTGGCTAAAATTGGTGAGATGGTGAGCTTTGAGGTTTGTTGCGATGTCATGGATTTGATGTACGAGAGTGATAAGATTTCGAGGATGTTTGTGGAATCACCGGTGTATCTTGCGGCGGCGATTGTGGTGGCGGTTTATGCAATGACGGTGCCGAAGCAGCAGTGCGAGTTTCCGGTTGTTGGTTGGGTGAATTTTGTGAGTGGTTGTAGAGAAGAGGATGTAATGTGGGTTGTTAAACTCATACTTCAACATGTATGTTTGGAGGATAATAAATTGAATTTGTAATTTCTATTTCCCGCCAAATCTCTATGAAGTTTGATATATTTTTTTCAGAATGTTATCCACCTTATTCTAATAAGTAAAATAAAAATAATTAGTGGGTTTAAAAATTGTTGTTAAGAAAACATAGTTATTATAAAATCTTATGTTATTAAAAAAATATATGTCGAGTTCATGAGGATAATAATAGAGTATGACCTATATCAAAAAAAAAAAAAAAAAAAAAAGGAAGATGGTAGTCTTTTTTAAAGCTGGTAGTTTTTTTTTTTTTTTTTTTAATAAAAAAAATGAGAAGGGTATTTTGGAAAAGTGAAATTTATTGCTCAAAACCCTTCTCACTTTATATATTACTAGATATACTGAAAAAAAAAAAAAAAAAAAAAGCAGCCTATACTTATTGTAAGAGCAAACATTACTCTATTTAATTTAGCATATACTTGAATAATAGGAAAAAATTTTACGATGGTTTTAATGTTATTTCTCCGAGATGTTGATCAACTAAATTTAAATGTCAGGGTTTGATCTTTGAGTCTCTGCTATGGAACCATCTGCCTAAGTAGCCTTCAGAGCTCTTAAGTCGAGTATTTCTTCTAATCATAAGTCCATATCCTAGCCTTGTCTTCTCATCCGCAGGTGCACTTTTCACTGAAATGGGTTCTTTAATATAAGCACCAAGGTGAAGCAATCCCTAAATTTACGTATTCTCTAAATTGGCGATAGTCAAATAAGAAATAACTTAGCTATGATACCAACTAGGCAACTAGAACGCGAGTGGAAAACCCCTAGTGACAATAAAAAACTATGTGGGATGATGTCTTGACTATGATAGCTTATTTATATATATATATATATATATATATATATATATATATATATATATAAACCTTTATACGAATGATTACAAATATCTCACAAATTAAGTTGTGTGAGACTATTTCACCCAAGATATCTTAGTTCTTATTAATCACATAAAACAATAAAAAATGAATGAGACTAAATTCTGTAACTTATTAAATTTTACTGTTAACTATACTCATCTCTTTACAAATTAATTTTCCAGTTAGCATTCTACTTCCTCTGTTTATTTTAATTGACATCTTTCTATTATCACACGCTTGCCAACACATGTTTTTAACGCTTAATAATTTCAATTATCAACATTGTAAAATTATAAAAAGTGGATATTAATAAAATATACGTATAAACAATTCAAATAAGATTCCACGTGATTCCCTTCAAAAAAAAAAAAAAAAAGATTTCACGTGATTACATTTTATCGTATCCATAAATTATAAAAGCGAGTCAAAATAAAGTATATAAATAGTGTAAAAGTCAAACGTTGTCAACTAGAAAAACAGAGGAATTACATTATTAGCGATACAAATAAATTTGAGTGAATTACCTGTTGAAGGAATTTGAACATTTATAAAGACGGACCGAGGGGCACGCCTCTTTCCCTCTTTAGTCTCAACTTTAGCATTAGTACCTTTCACCGTACATTATCCTCTCCACATCATGGATAAATGGCCGGGGTTTAGAGTTTCTTCAAAGAAGAAAAGGAAAAGGAGTGGAAAAAATCGAGAATCAGGGTTTGAGAAACGCAAAAAAAAAGTCGATTACGGTGAGTTTGCTTTAATTTGATGAAATTTAAATTGCATTCATTTGATGTTGCTGGTAGGTTAATTTGTTGAAATTGGACCTGAATTATGGTTTCCTGGTATACCATCTTTCTCATATCATTATCATGCCTTGTTTCATTCAATGATATATGTGTATGTGTATTTAATTTTTGGGTATGGATTATTTTGCAATTAACATTTTTTTGGGTCAATTAATTTATTTGGTTGCCGATTTGATGTTGTTGGCATGAATTATGGTGCTGTAGTTTGTTGTCGATACAAAATTGTCCTTAAAGTTTTTGCTTTTGTTTTTTTTCCTTGATCTTGAACAACCCATAGACTTCTTCCATACAAACTTTTGCTCATCATCTTATACATGTAGTTGTATTTACTATCGAAATGGACATCAGCCGTGGGCATGTTCGTGTCCTCCATGCCCCCTCTCGCTACCAGATAGCTGACATTTTTACAAAAGGGCTGCCGCAACTCCTATTCGAAGACTTTCGTGCCAGCCTTACGATTGCGGGGGTGTATTAGCATATGTGAATGTGTAGTCGTATTAAAATTTATGACTTTCGAATGTTATATTCAATCTATGTGAATGTGTAGTTGTATTTACTATCATTGTGTAATCATTCCCTAGGTACTTTGTTTATATACTCCTATGCTAAGCAATGAGAAGTCACGGAACATATTCCTACACTTCTCTTGTCATTGTTTGCTTCTTTTTTGTTGATAATAATACAATAATACTTGAAACAACTTCCTGCTTCTTCTTTTCCATTCTTTTAAACTTGGTCATTGCTTATCAGCTCGAATCGTCTAGTCATAGATTGAAGGATTGCTTGATTAATGTTAAAACGTTTTAGTTAATTCTTCAGTATTATTTGATGAACTCCTGAACTTTAATTGCTTGTGACCTTTTAAACTTGGTATTATGGGATGTATGATTGCTTCCTTTGGTTATTCGTCGATTTGAGTGGGAAGTAAGCACTTCTATTATGTAGTCTTATAATGACCTGTTTTGGGACCTGCAGGTCGAAGTAGATGTGTATCACCCTTCTAAAATTCAATTGCTTACTTTGGAAGAATGTAAAGCTACTGATAGTCTGATACTATTAGAGATGTCAAGGCAAGGGTCTGCCAAAAAGCAATCGACCTTGGCTTTGTTTTAATTGATCCTGATAATCGATTAATGTATTGGGCACCACACATTTTGGAGGACAACAAGACTGGGTTCCTTTTTAATCCTGGATGCAAAGACTTAACTATCACCATGTGTTACAAACCCATAGCAGAAGAGGAGGAGGAGAAGATGGACTGGTTTGCCGATATGTAAGTATGTACGATTTAGAGAGGAAGCACATGAGGAAAACATGGGTACGGATGATGACTACACGGGCTACCCAGTCTCGATTGTAAAGAGGCCAAAATCCATTCAAGCTTCGCTTCGGTTTGCTGAGTTGCCTAATCTAGACATAAATGGTAGGCAGACCCAGACAATCAGCCTGATTCATGAATTTTGTCAATCAGTTGCTTTTTGTGGGCCCCCCTTGCCAAATAAATTAATTTTATACTACTATTTGGTTTTGAAGACGTTAGTAACTCTAACGTCTGTTTCTTTTTTTTTTTTTTTTTTTAAATTTTATTAACATCTTCTCCAATCTTCTACCTGCAACACCGTCATAGTCACCATCACTCCGACCACCATCCGAAACCCATCACAGCCACCACCATCTTTACGCCTTCCGCCGAACGAACCCAGAAAGCTTCAGATCTTCGTCCTCTTCTTCAGTTCTTCCCGTCGTCCTCTTCTTCCCAACAATGGCATCTTCGCGGCGAAACTAAAAGACACCCAACTTGAATAGAGTGTAAATTAGGGCCATATCAAACCTTTAGGGAAAGCCTTTCATTTGCGGCGACATTTTAAACTACCATATAAGGTGGGTTTTTGCGGAATTTCATAATTGGGTGATGGGTTTTGGAGCTTGAGTTCCATAGAAATGGAGGTTGCGAGAAATTGGGGGAGACAGACATTGTTGTTAATGGCGGATTTTCGGGTTTTGGGGGAAATGAGGACGACATTTAGGAGAGAGAAAGAGGTGTTGAAATCGAAATCAGAGTTTGAATTGAGTGGTAATTGTGGTAATTGAGGGAGTGAGAATGAAGAAGATGATGATGATGAGGTTAATCAAGCTTTCATGGTGGTTGTTACTTGTTAGGATTGGAAGCTGAAATTATGGGTTTTGAGTGACTGATTACTCCCATTCGCATTTTTATTTAATTTTTTGGGTTATTGTTGGAGTGCTTGTTGATTGATTTTAATTGAAGGAAGAGGAGGTGGATTTGCAGGGAGTGGGGTGGATTTGTTGTAACGGCAATGAATATCAACGTTTGCACAAGCTAACCAAACTACCCTTACTAATATGACTGAAAAGGCCAAATTGACCCCTGATTTACACAAACTGTAAATCAGCCTGATTGACTTGTATTTCCTCAACTATGTGTTAGTTAATGACCAATTCAGATCCATATCTTTCTCTAAGATTAGGCGTGCCGCCTTTGTGTCCACCCTTGTGAATGTAATCCTTTTGGCACTTAATGATGATATTCATAAGAATCTGATCTCTTTAAATAGTGAATCTGAATACCGTGTTGTTCGTGTTAGTTGGGACAAAATTGTCCTACTTTTTTCTCTGGTTACTTAGGGCATCATACCTGGAAATCCCCATTGTCACTGTCACTGACTTAGACCCTCATCACCTCGACTTGCTAACCTTCCTTGACACACCTCCCGAAAACATACCAATATGCTATGGGTGGGATCTCAGCAGGGACTTCAATAATTTTGTTGCCTGTAATGTTGATTTAATTTTCTGAATATCCGGCGGCTTGGGCTGAGGCCTTCTCATTTTGAGGAGGGTCTATTTCCTTTTGATGGCGTTGCTCATCCTCCTCTTGGATTTAAGGAAGTCATTCGCATGCTCAGGGTAAATCCCTTTCTTCGTAGGAAGAAACACTGGTTAGCAGCATTGGAGTGGCTCGGCGTGTTTGGTAAGTCTGTGGCACTGGCTCCTGCATATTTAAGGTTTCATTGCCGAGAAAATATCCAAAAAAGATTGGGTTTAGACTTTAAATTACCGCCGAATGCTTCTGTAGTAGCTTTATTTTAAACTCGTAGTAAATTATGTGCAAGTGCTTTGAATTCCCATTTTAAGTTCTGATATTTGGCTAATGTTTAGAATTTTTTTTATTAATACAAGGCTCCTCAATGGTCAGCGATCTTTGCTCATATGTGTGCTTCAGATGTGTAAATACCCAATTCTCCTTGCTATTGTTCATTTGCTTAGACCTTTATTTTATTTTTAATTTCATGTTTTGAACGATGAGGTGGAATGATGAGGATTTTATATGACAACTAATCCACTTAGGATTTCATTGTTCAGCTCTAGGTAGGGATGGCAATGGTACCTCCATATCCATACCCGCCTTAAAATCTGAAATCCATCCCTGCCCCACCACCCATGACGGGTACAATATCCACATCCATACCTGCTCCACCGGGTACAAGATAGGATCATCCCCGCCCCATCACCCACTTGGATATATAATCGTCCCAAACCCATTCCCACGATGCTCTATTGTATCACATTAATGACAATTATATCAAATTAGGTTAAGAAAATTCGGACTTTCATTATTCAAGCTTATTGGGTTTCAGAGGGTATCAAGTTTCATAAATTCTAAACTCTTCTAAAAGAAATATGGTGCGGGTATAAGATGGGTACGGGGCGGGGCGGATATGGGGCGTGTCTACTCTAAAATCCATACCCGCCCCATTACCCATGGCGGGTACACATTTTATACCCATCCCCGCCCATCACCCGCCAAACCTCCCTCCATCCCCGCTTGGGGATGGGGCTAGTCTCCCATTTAACCCGATTCACTGCCATCTGACTGGCTAAATTCGTATCACCTAATTAAAAATATTACTTAAGTCCTCTAGCTAATTAATGTAAATAGGAAAGTAGGGTCGAATCTACAGGGAAACAAGTCTTTATATTCCTAATTAATTATTATAATCTAAACTATCAAGTAACCAAAATTGTTGTTATTAAAAGGAATTATACTACAGAAATAAAGATCATGGAGAAATAAATTAATAAAAAGCCTAGGGTCACAGGTTCACCAAAAATTAATATTCCGGGATAAAACATAACAATCAATAATTAACATTGCACATATAACATGATTACAGGCTCTCACAATTTATTAATCAACATTGATCTCACAGGATCTCGCAATTTACTAGATCTAAGTTCCTATTGAAAATAGCCTTTAATATCAAATTAACATCTACTTGATTCATCAATTCAATATTGCTTTACTTTTACAATCAAATCGCGTCTGCTCGATTCATAATCCAATTGTAAAGAATTAAAACAATTCAATAAGAAATTATCATCATGCAATATCAATAATCAATAATAACAAATCATCCCTTCATATTAATTATGGATCCCCAAGAACCCTAGAACTAAACAACTCACACATAATTAAATCTAAACTAATCAAAACAATTAAAAAAGACATGATTAACATTAAAGCAAGAAAATAAACAATAAAGGAGAGAAGAAATAATACCAAAAGAAAGAAGTATGAAATTGCATAAACTAAGAGTGTAGAGAGAGAAACAAGAGAGTAGAGCTGTCAATTTGGGTAAATGGGTCGGGTTTGAGTCGGGGTAGTGTGAGTCGGGTCTTCTCGGGTCGGGTCAATACGGTTAAAGTGATAACATATGCGGGTCGGGTTTGGGTTGGATCATGCTTGAGTCGGGACACGTCGGGTCATACATCTTATCGGGTTTAGGTCGGGTTACAATCGGGTCGGATGAAAAATATGTTGAGTTAAATTCGGTCTTTACAGGTTTAAATGAGTTAGGGTCATTCTCGGGTTCGAATCGGGTTCGGTTCAAGTCAATTATTTACGGGTTATAATCAAGTCGGCTCATTTTCTGGTTCAAGTCAATAATTTGCGGGTTATAATTAAGTCGGGTCATTTTCAAGTCGAGTCATTCTCGATTTCGAGTCGGGTTTGGTTCAAGTCATCAATAATTTTCATAAAACATGTTTCGTCCCTGAAATTCGTCCCTAAAAACATGTTGTGAAACTAACCTCTTAAAATTCAAAGTGAAATATTGAAGGAATAGAGTTAGGATTCAATTTCCGTTCCAATACCAACATGAGATAACAACCTATACATGTTGATTCAATAACAAGTCGGGTTGAATTTGGGTCGGGTCAACAACAAGTCGGGTTGATTCGGGTCGGGTTTGTAACAGGTCGGGTTGAAATTCGAGTTGGGTTTGTAGAAGGTCGGGTTAAATTCGAGTCGGGTTAGGAACATGTCGGGTTGAATTCGAGTCGGGTTAGGAACTGGACAGGTTGAATTCGGGTTTTGACGGGTTAAAATGGGTTTGAGTCTATTTCGGTTCAGGTCAAATTCGGTTCAGGTCAATAATTTACGGGTTACATTCGGGTCGGGTCATCTCTAGGCCGGTTAATATTCGGGTTCGGGTCTCAAATACTCGGGTCTAAGGGTGGTTTTAAGTCGAGTTCGAGTCACCCTTTTTTTCGGGTTCAGACGGGTCGGTTCATAGGTCTGGTTTGGGTCGGTATTTCGGGTCGGGTTAACTTTTGACAGCTCCACAAGAGAGATAAATCTAAGAATTTAATTAAGAGGAGAGAGAGAGAAAAGTTAGA